GATACCCGGCTACCCGTACCCTACCCGATACCCGTACCCTACCCGATACCCGGCTACCCGTACCCTACCCGATACCCGGTTACCCGTACCCGATACCCGTACCCTACCCAATACCCGGCTACCCGTACCCGGCCGGGTACGGGTAAGCCGTGAGTCACTGGTGAGTCACCGTGTGTCACTCATTTGCCAACGTCTTGTCTCTTCTCACAATTCAAGTTCCTAGAATCAACCCACCCGCGCCTGCAACGTGGCTTCATCCCAGAGGTCGCAATCGGGTACCCGATACCTGTACCCTACCCGTACCCGGCCGGGTACGGGTAGCCGGGTATCGGGTAGGGAACGTGTACGGGTACCCGATTGCGAGCTCTGGCATGCGGCAACGTGACCATGTCGAGTGAGCGGCCGGGCAACTTGCAGTTTGACGGTGAACACGGCAGAACGGATGTGAGCTTCAAGCGGTAGGACACCGTCCGCGGTCTGACGAACGCCGCCACGACGGCCACGCGGCACTACGGGTGCGTGCCGCTTGTCGGCAGGCGCGCGGCGACCGGCTGCCGGGGCGCGGGGAAGTCGCCGGGATACGCCGGGAGGTCCCGGACGGGGCGGCCGGGAGGCGCCGTCGCGACGGGGGCCGGGCCCGCCCTCGGGTTCGCGTCGCTGAGGATTTCGTGGAGGAGCTCGCTGGCAACTTCGCGCGCTCCCTCCACGCTGGAGCTCAGCACCGCGGGGAAGAAGCCGCTGCCTTCCCGCATCATCCCGGGAACGGAGACCTTGTACAGGAGGCCCATGGGCCTGCCGGGCTCCGAGTGAGCGTGCAGTTCGAAGGTCGCGTGGCCCACGCCGGCGCTCCGTAGCAGCGCCTGCAAACGCGTCTCCCACGACAAGACGGCCGCCTCCGGCAGCTCGTCCAGACCGACGGGCGTGGGCCGCGAGTGGCGGGGTGCCCGCCAGAGCTGCGTGCGCGCCGCCCAGCCCACAAACAGGCTGTGCGGGACCTTGCCGCAGACGGCGCACTCCGGCTGCGGGAGGCCTGGGACCGCCGCCACCTCCTCCTCGTCTTCAATTACCTCCTCCTCCACCTCCTCCTCCACCACCTCCTCCTCCTCTACCACCTCATCCTCCTCCTCCTCCACCACCTCTTCCTCCTCATCTTCAGTTGCCCCCGCCTCCTCCTCCCCCTCCTCCTCGTCTTCCGTTGCCTCCTCCTCCCCCTCCTCCTCCTCCCCCTCCTCCCCCACCTCCTCCTCCTCCTCCTCCACCACCTCTTCCACCTCCTCCTCCACCACCTCTTCCTCCTCATCTTCAGTTGCCCCCGCCTCGTCCTCCTCCTCGTCTTCCGTTGCCTCCTCCTCCTCCACATCCTCCTCCTCCACCTCCTCCTCCTCCACCACCTCTTCCTCCTCGTCTTCAGTTGCCGCCTCCTCCTCCCCCCCCTCCTCGTCGTCTTCCGTTGCCACCGCCGCGGCAGCAGCAGCAGCCGCCGCCCCCGGCTCTCGCTGCGGGATGGCCCAGTCCACGTTGATGTCCCGGCCCCACAGCCGGAAGGAGTACGGCAGCAGAACCCTGCGGGCCATGCAGGCCGCGCGGTGGCTCTCGTATTCGACGAACGCGTAGCCTCGGCTGAGGCTCCTGTCGTAGCGACAGAAGCGCATCTGGACGTCCACGACGCCCTCCGTGGCGTCGCTCATCGCCGCCATCACCTCGGCCCGCGTCTTGTCCTTCGGCAGCCTCGCCAAGAAGAGGCGGCGATTGTCGACGCTCACGCAAACCGCGATCCGTCGCCCCGGGCGGATCTCCAAGTCGTGGGGTCTCTTGACGGCGTCCGCGGCTTGCGAGCGCGTCGCGAAGGTGGCGAACGCGTAGCCGCGGTTCTCTCCGTCGTACGTCATCATGAGGCGCAGCTGGTACAGCTGCCCCACCGCCTCCAGCACGGGAAGCAGCTCGTCCTCGTACAGGTCGCGCGGGATCCTCGCCACGAACACCTCGCAGCCGCGGGCGGGAGGGGGGCCCTGCCAGTCGGGCGGCGGTCCCAGCTTCCTCTGTCCGTTCTCCTGGACGACGTTGTAGCCCGTGCGCAACATGAGGTCCAGAAGGTCCCTCTCCATGCAGCTCATGATGTCGAGCATCGGCGCTTTGTCCACGGCGGCGGTGACGACGGGGCAGCGGTTTGGGGCCCGTTGGAGCCCTTGACACTCACCGGCGCAGAAGCCTCGTGCCGACAAAGCCACGGCGGGGGGCGGAATCAACTCGTGAAAAGGCGGGAACTCGCTCGGGCCAAGCCTACAGGCCCAGCAGTGGAGAGAGGAAGAGAGAGTGGAGAGACGGATGGAGAGAGAGCTACCTTTGTAAACTCGGAAAATCACAATAAAATAAAAACCCAAGAAACTGTGTCTTGACCTTTGAACCGCCCTGTATAATGACCCCTCACCCCCAGTAGACGACCTGGTACCCCTCCTCACTCATCCACTCACTGACCCATCCACGCACCTCACACACCCACTCGCTCACACACTCACCCACCCACTCACCCGCACACCCACTCGCTCACACACTCACCTCACACACTCACCCACCCACTCGCCCGCACACCCACTCGCTCACACACCCACCCACTCACCCGCACACCCACTCGCTCACACACTCACCCACCCACTCACATCACCCGCACACCCACCCACTCACCCGCACACCCACTCGCTCACACACTCACCCACCCACTCACCCGCACACCCACTCGCTCACACACTCACCCACCCACTCACCCGCACACTCACCCGCACACCCACTCGCTCACACACTCACTCTCTCACACACTAACCTCACACACTCACCCACCCACTCACCCGCACACCCACTCGCTCACACACTCACCTCACACACTCACCCACCCACTCACCCGCACACCCACTCGCTCACACACTCACCCACCCACTCACCCGCACACCCACTCGCTCACACACTCACCCACCCACTCACCTCACCCACTCACTGATGATGATGAGAGAGAGAGAGACACGCAGACTCCAAATATACAGCAGTTGGCGTCGCCAGGGCCGGGATCGAACCCACGACCTCCTGCATACCAGGCGAGGTAGTTAACATCTCCTAGCCACCGTGATGATGATGAGAGAGACACACAAACTCCAAATATACAGCAAGAATCTTCAGGATCGAGATCAAACCCATGACCTCCTGTATACCAGGCGAGGGAGTTAACATCTCCTAGCCACCGTGATGATGAGAGAGAGACACACAAACTCCAAATATACAGCAAGCATCTTCAGTATCGGGATCAAACCCACGACCTCCTGCATACCAGGCGAGGTAGTTAACATCTCCTAGCCACCGTGATGATGAGAGAGAGACACAAACTCCAACTCCAAATAAAGTTTGAATGTATGCGTGTCGTTAAACCGGCCATCAGCCGACAGCCGATTCGCAAGGTTTATCACGTGACATACCGTGCCAATCTGTCACTGGAGCAGCACTAACCGGTTGTGTGTTGGAGTGTCTGTGTGTACACTGTGTGTGTCTGTGTGTCTGTGTGTGTGTACACTGTGTGTGTCTGTTTGTACACTGTGTGTGTCTGTGTGTGTGTGTCTGTGTGTGTGTACACTGTGTGTCTGTGTGTACACTGTGTATGTGTGTCTGTGTGTGCACTGTGTTTGTGTGTGTACACTCTGTGTGTGTGTCTGTGTGTGTGTACACTGTGTGTCTGTGTGTGTACACACTGTGTGTGTCTGTGTGTGTGTCTGTGTGTGTGTGTGTATACAGTGTGTGTGTGTACTGTGTGTGTACACTGTGTGTACACTGTGTGTGTGTGTACACTGTGTGTGTACACTGTGTGTGTCTGTGTGTGTGTGTCCACTGTGTGTCTGTGTGTACACTGTGTATTTGTGTGTACACTGTGTATGTGTGTCTGTACACTGTGTGTCTGTGTGTACACTGTGTATGTGTCTGTGTGTGCACTGTGTGTGTGTACACTCTGTGTGTGTACACTGTGTGTGTGTGTACACTGTGTGTGTGTGTCCACTGTGTGTGTGTACACTGTGTGTGTGTACACTGTGTGTCTGTGAGTACACTGTGTGTGTGTACACTGTGTGTCTGTGAGTACACTGTGTGTGAGTACACTGTGTGTCTGTGAGTACACTGTGTGTGAGTACACTGTGTATGTGTGTCTGTGTGTGCACTGTGTGTGTGTATACTCTGTGTGTGTGTCTGTGTGTGTGTACACTGTGTGTTTGTGTGTAAACTGTGTGTGTACACACTGTGTGTCTGTGTGTGTTTGTCTGTGTGTGTGTACACTGTGTGTGTGTACAATGTGTGTGTGTACACTTTGTGTGTGTGTACACTGTGTGTGTGTGTACACTCTGTGTGCGTACACTGTGTGTGTGCACTGTGTGTGTGTGTGTACACTGTGTGTGTGCACTGTGTGTGTGTGTGTGCACTATGTGTGTGTGTACACTGTGTGCACTGTGTGTGTGCACTGTGTGTGTGTGTGTACACTGTGTGTATGTGTGTTCACCACGCCCGGCGGACCCGTTATTCGATCCCGACTCCTGCCGGGGGAGGCGCTCCGGGCGCGGCGGGTCCGCTAGGAAAACTCGGGATGGCCCGAGGCCGACTAGGCCGCAGTCTTCCCTCCCCTCTGTTCTAGATGGTGACGGTGTTGCTGATGTTGTTGTTGATGCTGATGATGTTGTTGTTGTTGTTGATGCTGCTGATGTTGTTGCTGTTGCTGATGATGATGTTGATATTTCTGCTGATGCTAGGGGTGGTGATGATGTTGCTGATGATGTTGTTGTTGATGCTGATGATGATGCTGATGATATTGTTGTATATGATGGTGTAAATGATGTTTATTGATAATGTTGATGATCGCAAACATCAACATAATTTATTAATTTATTCAGTTAGGGTAGCCTCTCATTGTGGGAGGGGAGGGTCTTGTACTCCAGAAGTGACGTCATGTCATCTGCAGCCGCGTGACGTCACGAGCTAACAGGAAGTTGGAGGTCCGCGCGTGAACTGCAATCCGAGGTGAGAAATTCTCATCGTTGTGGTTGTTGTGGTTGTTGTTGTGGTGGTTGTTGTTTACCAAGCTAGAGCCTCGCTCTCTCTCTCGTAGGGATGTCACTAGAGCAGCAGCAGCAGCTTGTGAATCGATGTCCAAGTTGGAACTTTACAACGCGGGGCCTAGACACGCGGGGCCTTGCCTCCTGCCCTCGCCTGGTCGCGTTTGCTTTAATTCCCTCCCTTAAGTTTAATTTGTCTTCACGCGGCTCGCTACTTTGTCACTTTGGTTTATTGTAGATATTAACGCAGTTTTTCTTTTCGTTTTTTTACCAGCCCAAGCCCGCTTGAGCTGCTGTACCGCTCTTGTTTACAGAAGCTACCTGCCCACAACAACAACAAGGTGGGTTTTGTCAACGCGTGTGTCAATGTTTTGACTTAAAACTTTCGTAACTGCAGCAATTCATATTCTTGGTTCTTTCTGTAAAGTCACGGAGATAGAAAATGAAATAACAGATACAAATGTTAAATTAAATAAAAAAATGCAAATAAAGCAAAAAAACCCACGACGTTTTGACCGCAACACAAGTGGTCTTTGTTTATTTCCATTATCTGTTATCTGTATTTGCTATCTACGTGACTTTAGAACCAAGGCTACGTGTGTCAATGTCTGTCAAACACGCTGAGCGCGTGCTGATGTTGACTCTAAATATGGAGGGGACAACCCCTGCTGCTGTTTACCATGGCACTGTGTGTGCCAGAGTCAAGTCTGTTCACTGTTGAACACGCAGGTTATATCAAAACAATATCATATCTTCTTGGTTCTTTCGGCAAAGTCACGTAGAAGGGAAATAATAAAAATAAAACATAATAAAATAATATTATAATATACTATAATAAAATAATAAATTATTATTGTCATATATTATTATATTTCGATATAAAGCTTTCGTGACTGCAGGGATTCATCTTCTTGGTTCTTTGGGAAAAGTCACGTAGAGGGGAAATAACAAAATAATACAAATAAAACATAATAATAATAAATATTGTATTAGTTTTATTTTTATTATTTTATTATTTCCCTTCTACGTGACTTTACCGAAAGAACCAAGAAGATGAATCCCTGCAGTCACGAAAGCTTTAAATCGAAAGTTAAATTTCAGTTTAGTCTATGGGTCTCAACCATGTGTCTCTGTGTGACTCTGTGGGTCTCTATGTATCTCTATGGGTCTTTATTCATCTCGATGCATATTTATGGGTCTCTATGTGTCTCTGTGGGTCTCTATGGGTTTCTATTACTGGTAGGAACGAAGTGGGCCAGACCACCAATAGATTAATGTGTCCGTCCGTCCGTCTGTCCGACAAGATGGCCGCCCGCTCCCCCTGCGATCTGTGAACTAAACAAGATGGCCGTCGCTTCCGGCGCCTCACGGCGAAACTTTAAACTTCGCTTCAAATTTACTTTACTGAAACGCAGCACGCTTTTTTAACACAGAGACAAGATATATTTATATTAACACAGACACGAGATACATTTAATCGCCTTATTTGCGAGGCCTACTGCAGAAAAGGCATCGTGAGGCCTACTGCAGAGAAGGCTTCGCGAGGCCTACTGCAGAGAAGGCTTCGCGAGGCCTAGTGCAGAAGGCTTCGCGAGGCCTAGTGCAGAAGGCTTCGCGAGGCCTAGTGCAGAAGGCTTCGCGAGGCCTACTGCAGAGAAGACTTTGCGAGGCCTAGTGCAGAAAAGGCATCGCGAGCCCTACTGCAGAGAAGGCTTCGCGAGGCCTACTGCAGAAAAGGCATCGCGAGCCCTACTGCAGAGAAGGCTTCGCGAGGCCTAGTGCAGAGAAGGCTTTGCGAGGCCTAGTGCACAAGGCTTCGCGAGGCCTAGTGCAGAAGGTGGTGGTGGGGGGTGGTGTGGTGGGGGGGTGGTGTTGAGGGTGGTGTTGGGGGGGGGCTGTCAACTGCGCGTCACCAAGTCGTCGGCTCCCGCGAAAATCGCTGCGTTTTGTCGTCACGGCGTCGTCGATTTGATGGCGTCGCTGAGATAAAAGCGCCTCCTCGCTGAAGTCGGTCGCCGTGAAGTCTGCAAACGACCACTTCGCCCCCAAGTAGTTGAAGACGGGGGACAGTCGACACAGCGGCGTCCACACGACTCCTCGGCCACCCACGATCACCACGATCACCACACGCCGCCCTCACCACTTAAGCAGGGCGCGTTGCTAAGGGGCGGGGTAGAGGGCGGGGACTCGGAGCCTCTGGCGCGCATCGCTCCTCCCGGTTACTAATTATTATTCCTACCAGCCCACCCCGCAGGGTCCTGTTAAATTGACGCCCCTCCCCCCCACCGTATAATCACATTTTCCTATAACATCGAATAAGGAATAACACAATTGGAACCTCATTTGCCAGTAAAAATATGATAATTGTTTTTTTACCCTTCTATCCGGCAACAAAACTGACACCTTGTTTTTACAAGGAGTCCTGTTTACATAGACCACAATACCTGCAGCCATAATGCAAATAAAAAACAACTCTGATAATATGCACTGAATCCCTGCAGTCACGAAAGCTTTAAAACGACAAAATAAGTTTAAATTTGCTGAACGACGGCTCACAGCTTGCAATTGAAACTGCTATTGTCAATACGATTTGCAGTGAAATTCGGAAATATGTCGTCTCCATAAAAGACAATAAAACCAAGAAGATCCAAAGGAGTTTCTGGTAGAACTTCATTCCGGTTACTGAGCAGCATTTTGCAATCTCCAATTTCTGTGATAAGTTCGTGGCCATTGATGTCGGTGTCATAGAAATTTCCCAAATCTGTGCAATTTCGACGAACTGCATCGACATCCGTGTCGGATAGAAGAGTTTTGACGTCCAGCAGAAATCCAAATTTCGTGTTCAGGTCTTTTAGTCGTAAAAACCGTGTTGACATCTCCTGTTGAAGTCGATAAAATACGCTCTTCATAACGCGCACAATTTCTTCTTCTGCTCAAAGTCCTGCATCTCTTGCCAGTTCTCCCGGCATCTTCCGACGTCGCCTAATTCTTCTGTCCACATCGATCCCCCAGGTTGTGCATCTTGTTTTGGCAAATCATCACGAAGCTTGACAAATTCATGCTCCAAAGATTAAAGATCAGTTGCTGCTTCCTTGAAATTCATAGTAGGATCCTGTAAGTGCTTCTGAACACGATCCATTTTTCCAAGAAAGACATTCAAGAAATGTAATGAAACTATTAAGTTAAAACTTTATACGCATGCCTGTAACTGTTCTGCATCACTTCTGGTTTCAGGCATCATAGTTACGTCCTCCGATAATTTGTCTAGCAGCCCTACTAGTTCATCCAGTGCTTCATAGGTAGCTTTAACAGCTTCTGATCGTGCACTCCAGCGTGTTTCAGGCCGTCGTAGTTTCTGCCACCAAAAAACAGGCCAGTGACTAAGGCTGAAAGACTGCGCCTGTCTGTTGTTTGGGACGTTCTTCCATGTACATTTTTAACAGGCGCGCGTACCAAGATGTTATTACATGACATGTAGGCTGTGTGTGGCGGGATGTATAAACTTTTAGGTTGAGGTGTAGATTTGTGCAGTAGTTTCAGGCTGACGCGCCCGCCGCAATAAGTTATCATGTATCGTTGCAAGCCTCATTTTGGCGCCCCTTTACCTTGGTGCCCCGGGACACATGTACCCCCCTGCCCCCCCCCCCCCCCTAGCCTCGCCTCTGCTTGTTTGAGATTTCTATCTCGGAGCTAAGCCATGCCTGTGTGTCCTGGTGCGGCGTCTCCATCTATCTGACGATGTCCCCAGGAGTGCCCCTTGAGAGAAAGATCACGTCCTGCTGACATTTGAGAGCCCATCCACGTCACCGCTCGTCACCGCTCGTGTCAACGTCTCGCCGCACGACCGTCTCAGGATGTCGCGGTCCCCGTTTGTCAGCGACGCGAGTCACTCGCTGAAGCCGGATGCCCCCACCTCCTCGGGTCGCCAGCCGCGATGGCGACGCAAGGCGGCGTCCGCTAGTACGAGCACGGTGGGAGGCTTGGGCATGCCAGCTCGCCCTGGCGCCCGCAGCAGCCGCAGCCGCAGCAGCATCAACAGCAGCATCATCAGCAGCAGCAGCATGATGGCGGTGTCACCAATGAAGGGGACTTGCCGCACCAACACTGCGCCAGGACGCACTCGCGTCTCCAAGTGCCGGAAAATGCCCGGGGCCAAGGGCACGAGCCCGCCTGGTGAGTGTGGCGTGGCTACGTACGGTGCGAAAGAAGTTCAACAGGCACGCGTAGCCTGTGGTTTTGTGCGTTCGGTGTGCGATGATTGTGGCGTTTGAATGCGTGGAATGTGCGGCGTGTGGTCTGTATGCACGCATCGCCATATATATGTATGCATTCTCTCTGTATATACTTTGCTGTGTGTTTACTGTCCGTGTACACATTTGCCATGAATGCCTGCTGTGTGCGTGTGTGCCCAAACTCCAGGTCGCGCCCGCCGCACTCCCCATGGCGAGCTCGGTGACCGATTCATCCCGGTGCGGAACAGCGAGAATATGGAGGTGGCACGCTACCTCGTATCTCGAGAAGAAACAGCATCTCCACTGAAGGCACGGAGACACACGGTGACACACGGAGACACACGGAGACACACGGTGACACACGGAGACACACGGTGACACACGGAGGCACACGGTGACACACGGAGACACACGGAGACACACGGAGGCACACGGTGACACACGGAGACACACGGTGACACACGGAGACACACGGTGACACACGGAGACACACGGAGACACACGGAGACACACGGTGACACACGGAGGCACACGGAGACGCACGGTGGCACACGGAGACACACGGTGACACACGGAGACACACGGTGACACACGGAGGCACACGGTGACACACGGAGACACACGGTGACACACTAAGACTCACGGTGACTCACGGTAACACACGGTAACACACGTTTATATTTGTCCTTTATATTTGTCCACGTGTAGAAGAAGCAGGCAGCGATGATGCATCTGCTGAGCGGCGTGGATGTGGAGAAAGCACGAATCTTACGCTACCAGGGACGCGTACCCGAGGGTAAGACGGGCTACACGGAGAGACGGTGAAGGACGTGGGGAGCTGGATTTGACGTGTTGGCGAGGACTCAGGGTGACGTCGTGGGAGAGAGACTCGAGCGGTAGACACGACACGGGGACGACAGAGGAGGTGTAGGGGCAAGGCTGAGACGTGGAGGGGAGGACATGGAAGGAGACTGGGGTACAGGGGGCTACAGATGGACGGAGACACGTGGGATGGTGAGGGGGGGGCGAAAGGAACTATGTGTACGTGGCCGTGAGTGGTTCCCCCTGGCACATGGACGCAGGCAAGTCACCGCACGCCCTGCAGGGCTGTGTTCGCAGCGTTCCTGGTGAATGTGGCCACGGCGTTTGCCGTGGTGGTGAACGTCGTCCTGGTGAATGTGGCCACGGCGTTTGCCGTGGTGGTTAACGTCGTCCTGGTGAATGTGGCCACGGCGTTTGCCGTGGTGGTTAACGTCGTCCTGGTGAATGTGGCCACGGCGTTTGCCTTGGTGGTTAACGTCGTCGTCGTTGTCGTGGTGGTTGTCGTGGTTGTGGAGGTGGTGGTGGTGGTTGTGGTGGTTAACGTCGTGGTGGTGGTTATGGTGGTTGTCCCCGAAGGCTGCAGCGGCTCCACACAGCAGCAGGCGTTGTCCTCCATGCCGGGCTACACTCCCCTCTCCCTGCTCACGAAGAAGCGGCGCGTACCCACGCAGCCCGCGCGGGTGCTGGACGCGCCGGGCGTCCGCAATGACTTCTGTGAGATTCGCGCACGCACAAAGATAAAGATCCCCCGTGTGGCCTTAACAGACCGTAGGGGCAAGTGCTGTTAGCGAGCACCTGTGAGGGCCGGAACGGCACACGAGGGGGTGGGTGGCCAGCACCACGCCCGGCCGCCTTTGTCTCCCCGGTGACTATGTTTACACACCGCACTAGGTACTCATTTGAGGCCGAGTCGACCTAGGGGAGGCTCGGGACCGGTTCAGATAATCGTCATCGGTGTTGGCCGTGAGCGGGAATCGAACCCGTGTCGCCAAGTTCATAGCGCAGCGTAGCGCTAACCGCTACACTACCACACGCACACACACAGGCACACACACGCACACGTACACACAGCTTCAAATAGAAATATATCCACGAGTGAAACTTACCGGCTTCAGCCCGCTGAGCTATTCACTTATTTCTCAGCGGCAACGTGGCCACAAATGGCAGCCCAACAAAGCGGCTCCTCATCACGTGGGACTTTGTATCGGCCACATGAACACGTTGAGATACGAGTGGCCCACAATCCAGACCGCTGGTCTCCCACGTGCCCACCCTGACCCATCGCTAAGGCCGCAATGCTGAGATGGCGTCCACGCGATGCGTCAACGCGGTGCTAGTTTGGCGTTCTGCTTCACATTGTGTGCGTACCCGTGTTTGTTCGCCACAACGAGGCCACTGGCGTTCTACCCGCCACACACAGCCTGCAGTTGTCCTGCACGGTATCCACGCCGCAGCCTGCGACACCACCGCCCTCCACCGCCACAACTAAGTGATTGTATCTCGACCTTCCCTGAGTCGCAAAACCGGCATCATATAAAATCCGTATTTACCCACGTGTACACACATATACACACACGATACAAATGTCATCCTGAACTTAAAGTGTTCACCCTTATCGTGACCTGTGACCCCCGTACCGCCGTGCGCACAGACCTCAACGCGCTGGACTGGAGCGTGGACAACGTGGTGTGCGTGGCGCTGGGCCGCCTGGGGACGTACCTGTGGGACGCGGCCACGGGGACCGTGACCCAGCACATGGAGGCCTGCAACGAGGTACTGGGACACAAATACAAAGATCCCTCGCCGCCATGTAGCCTTCACATACTTGTGGGGCAAGAGCTGTTAGAGAACACTGGCATGGCACACCAGGGGGGGGGCGGGTGACCAGCACCAGACTTGGCCGCCTTAGTCTCCCCGTGGGTGATGAGAACCAGGTGCTCATTGGATGTGGAGTCCGCTTAGGGGAGGAGGCGCACGATTGGTTCACACAATTGTCACTTGTGTCTTCGTTTGGAGCTTTCGCGACTGCAGGAATTACTCTTTGGTTCACCACGCGTCTTCCTACCCATTGACATGCTCATTGTTTCTCTAACCCCCTCCTCTCCGCCCCCGCCCCCCCCTCTCGCGATTTAAGGCCTCGTCACAGAGACGATCTCTCTCTGTGTGCCGATGTGTTACTCTCTCTCTGTGTATCTTGGTGATATCAATCTTCTACGGGGAAGTTTTAAGCTTATCTTTTTTCTCTCTCTCTGGGTTTTTTGTTTTCTCTCTCTGCCTGTGTCCTCTCTTTGGAATTTTCACACTTAAATTCTAACTTAGCAATCTTTGAAATACGTAATCAACCGGGCTATGCGTTAATTGTGTGTTGACC